TCGTACCATTTAGAATCTGTGTGTTTGAATATGGATCTGAAGTTGGCGTGACGTTGAAGTCGTGCTGCTGGACTCGGCTGTAGTTCCTTTAGCATAACGTTAGCATTTAGCTTCTGGAGATTAGATTTATGATTAGAACATTGTAAAAGTAGGGTAGACATGTGGAGATTATCCGGCTGAACAAAACGTGCATTTATCAAACACGTTCGTTTTCCACAGACCTTATTTTTTACACTATTCCTAAATCCTATGGAGAAATCCCGTTGCTTTTTGTCGAGGGAACCCATGCACAGTTTACTTCCGGGTAAATACGTCATCCCTGCACCGCTCTATTGACCATACATTTCAAAAAGAAGAGTGAAGCTTGTGGTAATTAGCAGGAATAAAGTTGCCTTGAAAGCAAATTTGGGTGATTATTTAAACTCTATGGACAGAAGGTGATAAACACCAGGGTTAAGATGAAGATTTAAACCTCTGTTCCTCCGCATCAAACAGGCTGACTCGAAGAGAGGAGGAAAGAAAGAGACTGAGAGAGAGAAGAAGAAGAAGATCCTGGCCGCCAGACGCAAGCAGCTGAACATCGACCATCTGAACGAAGACAAGCTCAAGTAAGACCCACACAAAGATTACAGTTCTCAGGACTCACTTTTATTTACCCTCAGGGTGAACGCAAACTCTTAACCCATGTGGCTTTCTTTAATAATTAATATTCAAAACATGAAGGGAAGGTCTTTATTTCTCTGAGATGTTTCTGACGTGATTATCTCATTTTTTATTTATTTAACTTTCATGTTTTTAAGATATTTCATATATTTTTCCGACATGTTTTTGACACCTTTTCTCTATTTTATTTATTTATTTAACTTTCATGTTTTTGTAAGTATTTTATATATTTTTCTGACATGACTGTGTTGTTGTGCTGCAGGGATAAGATCACTGAGCTGCACGAATGGATGACATCACTGGAGTCTGACAAGTTCGATCACATGGAGAGACTGAAGAGGCAGAAGTACGAGGTGAGTCAACAAAACAGGAACTTATACAACTTATTGACATGTTTTAAAAACCTTATTCCTTTCATTTGTCAGTAACTAAGGTCTGTACTGTACGGTTACTATGTGCATTTCTTAAAGGAGGCTTTCAATTGTTTGTGTTTACTTAATAAAGTATTGCATATAGATGTTGTTTTTCAATTAAACCATTTGGTTTTAAGGTGATTTTGGGTAAATAAATCCGATCCAGTTATCAAAAAGAAAGCCTCGTTAATTGATTAATAAATGAATAGATCTCTCCTTATTCTAATCATACTTTTTATAATACATTGAGAGAAACATCTTTGATTCCGGCTTGTGTTTAGACAACATTTAACAATTGAAAAAGCAATCTATGGAAGAAAAGCATTATTTTCTTGCAGTTTTAGCAACCTCCTTAGCCCTAAATGCTATCATTATAATAACCATATTCATCCACAGGTTTGCCTCGGTATGTACCCTGATTTCTGCACAATAATCTTCATAATCTTTCTCCAGCTGTAGCAGATATTTGTTGTTGTTGTTGTTTAAATTGAGATGCGATCCTGAGGTTTTTCGCGCAGCCCCACTCCGGGTTTGAACCTCGATGTGTGTTTGATTCCCTGCAGGTCACCACCCTGCGTAAGAGAGTTGAAGAGCTCAGTAAATTGTAAGTAGAGCTGCAGCGACGCTCTGCCTGCAGCTTGGGGCTCGCTGCATGTTAGCATGAAGGTCAAGAAGGGAAAACACAGCGCCCCCCGCTGGCCGAGAGGAGACAACACACCACCGAGACAAAAAACTAAACAACGAAGAGTTTGTTTCTAAAAGTGACATCTGAAACATCTTGATTTTATTTTAAATGTAAAAATCACACACACAATTACACATTTCAGAAAGTTGGCTGAATTTCTGCATTTTCTTTAATACATTTTTTTATAATATGATAATAATAATAAT